AAGATGAGAGAAAGAAAGAGTGCCTCTTTTATCACCAGACACACTCACCTCATAAAGCATTAGGTTGCCAGTGTAAAACAATACCCCAGAATATAACTATGATATATAAAGACGTGATCTTCGTTTCACCTCAATTTCTTAACTTTTCTCTCCTCTTCGAAATTACATCAAGTGGCTAGATCGTAAGGGAATAGGCAGGTGCAGAAGAGAAGTGGGAAATGGGGGAAGAAAGAAGGAACATGGGAAGCGTGGGGAAAAAGGGAAAGGGAAGGGGGAGTGGGAAGGAGAAAGAGGAGAGGGAGTAGGAATAAGGAAAGAGAAAGGAAGAAGAGGTAGGGGGAGAGGGGGGAAGGGGGGAAGGAAGGCGAAGAGGAGAGGGAAGGAGAAAGAGGAGAGGGAGTAGGAGAAGGAAGAGAAGGGGAAAGGTTAGAGGGTAGAAGAGGGTGGAGGAAAGGAGAGAAGGGAAAGTTAGAGGGTAAAGGGAAAAGGAGGAGAAGGGGAAGGAGAAGAGGGTGGGAAAAGGTGAGAAGAGGAAAGGGAGGAAGACGAAGAAAGGGGAAGGGGAAGAGAGAGGGGAAGGGAAGAAGATAGAGAATAAGGAGACGAATTGGGAAAGGAAAGAGAAAAGCAGAGAAGAAAGCGATCGAGGCGACGGGGGCCCATCGACTCGCTCCGTATTCCACACGGGGAAGAATAGATCCGACTCGAGAGCATCCCGGGGGACGCGAGCAGCTCCTCGCCCGGAAACACACGAAAGGGAAACCAATGAGGCTAAAATAGGCGACGGAGAACAAGCGGTGAATATGAGAACGCTAATGGAATGCCGGATTCACGCGGATTCCTGCGGATTCGCGAACTGCACTCCGAGGATATGATTGTCCCGTTGAAGAGGAGTTCCCCTGAACACTTTCTGGACAGGATCTCGAAATTTGAAGGAGGGAGGGAAGGGGGGTGGGGCAAGGAGGTGAGAAGGGAGGAGGAGGGCAAGGGCATTGGGAGGGGAGGATGGAAGGGAGGGGGAGGCAAGAAGTCATGGAGTTGGAACGGGGGGGTGGGAGGAGGGACCGTAGGAACGGGAGGGAAGGAAGGAGGGGGGGAGGGTGATAGGGAGGGGAGGGAGGGAAGGAAGGTGAGAAGGAGGGAGGGGAAGAAGAGGAGAGCCGAGGAAGTAAGAAGCAGAGGAGTTTGAAAGGAGGGAAGGAGTAAGGGAGGGCGGACGATAAGAAGAGAGGTAAGAAAGAAAGAGGGATAAGAGAGATAGATATAGAGTAGAGAGAAATGAAGAAACAGACAGACAGAGAAATAGATCGATTGAACAGACAATCAGATCAGATATGGACAGGTAAGGTAGAAACACAAACAGATAAACACTCATTGACTTCTTGTGTCTTATTGTCTTGTCGTTGTAATGTCCTCAAATTATTCTCCCTTTCCCCCCTTCTTCTTTTTCTTTATTACTATTTTCTTTCCAGCCCTTTCCTCGTTCCTACTCCGCTTCTACCTCCTCTTCCTTCCCTCCTTCCTCTCTTTATATTCCTCTCCAACTCCTCTTCCTTCCCCCTCTCCCTCCCTCCCTCTCTTCCTACTCTACTCCCTTCCCTCTCAACTTACGTCATCTTCCTTCCCCCTCTTCCCCCTTCCTCTCGCCTTTCCCACTCAACTACTCTTCTTCCCTCTCCCCCCTGGTCCTCTCCCAACTACTCCTCCCAGTCCCCCTCCTACCTCCTTTGGGCCTCTCCCAACTCCTCTCTTCTTCCCCCCTCTCCCCCTTCACCATTCTCTTCTACTCCCATTCTCTCTACTCATTCCTCCCCCCTCTCCTCTCACCCTTCCTTCTCCTATTCCCTCTCCAACTACTCTCTTTCCTTCCCCCCCCTCCTCCCTCTCCTACCCCTCTCCCCCCTCCCTCTCTTCCTGCTCCCAACTTCCTTGTTTACCCTCTTCCTCTCAGTCGAAGCCCGCCTCCTTGAAGTGAAACCCTCACCTGGCCTCAGAAATAATTAAAAGTAACACGTTTCCTCCCAGAATTGCACATGCAACCTCTCGTTTCAACTCATGCAATATCAAGGACAAAAAGAAAGAAAGAAAGAAAAATGAAAATAAAGTAAAATGAATAAATGAATAAGAAAGAAAGACAAAAAAAAGTAAATAGAATAAAATGAAATAAGATCAAATAAATAGATAAGTAAATGACTAAAGAAAGAAAGAAAGGAAGAAGAAGAGAAAAGCAAAGTAAGCAAACAAAAAAAAGAAAAAGAAAACGTAAGAACACAAGAAAGACGATGCGCCATGAATACCTAAGTGATTAGGCAATCATGCAAAAGTGTTGTTTCGGTGACCCTTTGTCTTTGTCTGTGTCTGTGTCTCACTTTTATTAACTTTTTCTCTTCTGTGTCTCTCTTTTATCATCCTTTCTCTCTGTGGTATCTCTTTATTTTTTTTTCTTGTATGGTATCTCTTATTAATTCTTTCTCTTTGTGTATTTATATATTTTATTTTCTCGTGTGACTTATATTAGTTCTTCCTCTCTGTGGTATGTTTTTTTCTCTGTTGTATTTTATTAATTCTTTCTATCTCTGGTTTATCTTTTATCATATCTTTCTGTCTGTGGTATCTCTTTTATCTATTCTTTCACTTCTATGGTATCTGTCTTATTATTATTTTATCTCTCTCTCTTTGATGAATCTTTTATCAATTCTTTCTATCTGTGGTACTTCTTTTATTAATTGCGTCTCTTCTATGGTATCTCTCATATTATTTTTTCTGTATGGTTTCTCTTTTATTCATTTGTTGTTTCACTTTTATGGTATATATTAAAAATATATATATATTTAAAAATATATATATATATATATATATATATATATATATATATATATATATATATATATATATATATATTCAAAAAGTATATATTGAAAAAATATATATATTTTAAGGGTTGTTTAGTAGACCAAGGTTTCCCTCTGGAGAATATTAAACTCAGGAAAAACAAAAATGATATTCGATGTGTTGTGACAGTGGGTACAAATATGTTTATTCTGGAAGGCTCGTCATAGCATAGCTGTGTACGATTCTTAAAGGAATATCTATCTGTTTGTCAAACTGTTTTGTCTGTTTGTCTGTCCATCTCTCTCTTTTTGGTTCTCTCTTCTGCTCTTCTCTCTCCTCTTCTCTCTGTCTCTCTGTCTCTGTCTCTGTCTCTGTCTGTTGTCTGTCTGTCTGTCTGTCTGTCTGTCTGTCTGTCTTGTCTCTCTTGTCTTTCTCTTCTCTCTCTCTCTCTCTCTCTCTCTCCTCTCTCTCTCTCTCATCTGTCTCTGCACCACACACACACACACACACACACACACACACACACACACACACACATACACTTATTATACGCATATTCCATTTTAACGTATATAAACGCGCGCACACACATATCCATGTATACAATTATATCTCCAAACTGAGAGAGACAGCGAGAGAATATCATATATATGTACACACTTATATATGCATGTACGTACATCAAGTATACACGTATATATATATATGTAAAGTAGGGCCGAGATTTCGCTCCAAGGACGGCCCCTTACCGACGCACCGACAAGCAGTCCGGCAGTAAATGTTTCCAAGCCGGCTGCTCTTGCGTCCGGCTGGGTCCAGGGAGGTTCGCGAGCGCCGGCTGGTCCGCTAACACCCCCTCTCTCTTCCTCCATCCCTCCTTCCTCTCTGTCGTTCTCTCTGTCATCTTCTCTCTCCTCCTCTCTCTCGCTCTCGCTCTCTCTCTCTCTCTCTCTCTCTCTCTCTCTCTCTCTCTCTCTCCTCTCTCTTCTCTCTTCTCTCTCTCTCTCTCTCTCTCTCTCTCTCTCTCTCTCATCTCTGTCTCTGTCTCTCTCTCTCTTCTCTCTCTCTCTCTCTCTCTCCTTCCTCTCTCCCACCTCCCAGTCCTCCTGCCGGCGACACTCTGGCCAGATAGAAGTACGGCCTCGATCCCCTCAGATCCCCGGCTCTTGTTCTCCCAGTCTCTCCCGAAGCTCCTCCCGGGGGCTGTGCGGAGCGTGGATATTGCTCGGTGTCCCTTCTCGTCTCGTTTTTCTCCTTGGCTCGCCTGTCTCTTTGTTATTAGCGATTTTTTTGAAGAGGGGGGGGGGAGAAGGGGTGGGAAGGTGGGGAGAGGGGGAAGAGGGGATGGGTGGGAGGGAGAGATGGGGGAGGGGTGGGAGAGAGAGAGAGAGAAAGAAAGAGAGGAGAGAGAGAGAGAGAGAGAGAGAGGGGGAGGGTGAGAGAGAGAGAGAGAGGGGGGGAGGAGTGGGAGAGAGAGAAGGGTGGGAGAGAGAGAGATGGGGAATGGTGGGAGAGAGAGAGATGTGGAATGGTGGGAGAGAGAGAGATGGGGAAAGGGTGGGAAAGAGAGAGAGAGAGAGGGGGGGGAGGAGTGGGAGAAGAGGGGGGAGGCTCATGCGGATGTCGCTGTTGTTGCGATGTTTATTCTGTTCTTTATGAGTTTCCCGAAGTCACATCGCGTTACAAAAAAGTTCTTTATATCCTGCTCTGTATAAGAGCTCTTTCAAACTTCCCGGAAAAGAATTACCTTTTTTTCTTCCACTTCTTGATATCTATTATCTTCTTATCTTATTTCTTATTATCTTCTGGATTTATACGTATTCTTAGTATCCGCATTAGCATGGACATTTTTACCACTATGTTTTTCTTCTTATTTTTTCTTTCTTTCTTTCTTTTTTTCCCGTTGACGCCTCGATGTTTAAGAGCACATCCGGTCTCTGATCTTGAGAGCAATCATCGTGATCTCCTCTTATCCTTTCTTCGTCTCTCCCGTCTCTTTCTTTCAATCTCCACCCCGGTCCCGTCTCTCCTTCGCCCAATCCTCTCTCATCTCTCTCTCTCCCCCTTTTTACCCCTCGCCCCTTAAATGCCTCCGCCCGTCCCATTAGTCTCCCGCCGATCCCGCCATTTATCTCCCTCGCTCTCTACGTCTCGTTCTCCTCCCGCAGAGATCCTGGACGCCCTTTGCAAGAGCTTCCTGCCGATGAACGTGTCCGCCATTATCTACACGACCACGGACGAGAGCTTCGGGCGCAACACCGCGTCGGCCCAGTACTTCCTGCAGCTGGCCGGGTACCTGGGCATCCCCGTCATCGCCTGGAACGCGGATAATTCGGGACTGGAACAGGTGAGTGGCAGACCAGACGGAATTGTCCTTAAAAGAGATTGGATTATTAATTGATGCGCTGATCGAATGATACATATACATGGGGTAATAGTTTGGAAAAGATGGATTATTAATTGATACGTTGGTCGAATGATACATAATTGGGGTTTGGAAAAATGATTTGGATTTATAAAACGTTGATCGTAATGAACATAATAGTTAATAGTTTGGAAAAGATGGGATTATTAATTGAACGTTGATCGAATGATACATATAAATGGGTAATAGTTTTGGAAAAAGAAAGGATTATTATTGATACGTTGTCGAATGATACATATAAATGGGTAATGTTTGAAAATGGCTGAACGTTGATCGAATAGAACATAAATGGGGTAATAGTTTGGAAAAGATGGATTTTAATGAGCGTTGATCGATGAGAACATATAATGGGGTAATAGTTTGGATAAGATGGATTATTTATTGATATGATCGAATGAGACATATAAATGGGGTAATAGTTTGGAAAAGATGGATTTATTAATTGATACGCTGATCGAATGAGACAATATAAATGGGGTTAATAGTTTGGAAAAGATGGATTATTAATTGATACGTTGATCGAATGAGACATATAAATGGGGTAATAGTTTGGAAAAGATGGATTATTAATTGATACGTTGATCGAATGATACATATAAATGGGGTAATAGAAAAGATGATATTAATTGAAACGTTGATCGAATGATACATATAAATGGGGGTAATAGTTTGGAAAAAGATGGATTATTAATTGATACGCGTTGATCGAATGAATACATATAAATGGGGTTAATAGTTTGGAAAAGATGGATTATTAATTGATATGCGCTGATCGAATGATACATATAAATGGGGTAATAGTTTGGAAAAGGATTTTTAATTGATACGTTGATCGAATGATACATTAAATGGGTAATAGTTTTGGAAAAGATGGATTATTAATTGATGCGTTGATCGAATGATACATATAAATGGGGTAATAGTTTGGAAAGATGGATTATTATTGATGCGCTGATCGAATGAGACATATAAATGGGGTAATAGTTTGGAAAGATGGATTATTAATTGAAACGTTGATCGAATGATACATAATATAGTTTGGAAAGATGGATTAATTGATACGCTGATCGAATGATACATATAAATGGGGTAATAGTTGGAAAGAGATTATTTAATTGATGCGTTGATCGATATGACATAGTTTGGAAATGATGGAATTATTAATTGAAAATCGAATGATACATATAAATGGGGTAATAGTTTTGGAAAAGGATTATTATTTAATTGAACGTTGATCGAATGATACATATAAATGGGGTAATAGTTTGGAAAAGATGGATTATTAAATTGAGCGTTTGATCGAATGATACATATAAATGGGGTAATAGTTTGGAAAAGATGGATTATTAATTGATTACGTGATCGAATGATACATATAAATGGGGTAATATTTGGAAGATGGATTATTAATTGATACGTGATCGAATGATACATAAATGGGGTAATAGTTTGGAAAAGATGGATTATTAATTGATACGTTGATCGAATGATTACATATAAATGGGGTAATAGTTTGGAAATGGATTATTAATTGATACGTTGATCGATGAGACATATATAATGGGTAATAGTTTGGAAAAGATGGATTTATTAATTGATACGTTGATCGAATGATACATATAAATGGGGTAATAGTTTGGAAAGATGGATTATTAATTGAACGTTGATCGAATGATACATATATAAATGGGGTATATAGTTTTGAAAAGAGATATTTAATGAAATGATCGATGACATATAAATGGGGTAACTGAAAAGATGGATTTTTCATTGATACGTTGATCGAATGATACATATAAATTGGGGTATATAGTTGGAAAAAGGATTATTAATGATACGCTGATTCGAATGAGACATATAAATGTGGGTAATAGTTGGAATAGATGATTATTAATTGAAACGTTGATCGAATTGATACATATAAATTGGGGTAATAGTTTGGGAAAAGGATTATTAATGATACGTTGATCGAATGATACATATAAATGGGGTAATAGTTTTTGGAAAAGATGGATTATTAATTGATACGTTGATCGAATGATACATATAAATGGGGTAATAGTTTGGAAAAGATGGATTATTGATTGATACGTTGATCGAATGATACATATAAATGGGGTAATAGTTTGGAAAAAGATGGATTTATTTAATTGAAACGTTGATTCGAATGACATATAAATGGGGTAATAGTTTTGGAAAAGATGGATTATTAAATTGTACGTTGATCGAATGATACATATAAA